GCAGAGCAAGACACATCCGTCCGATATTTGAATATTTTGCTAGAAAATGACATAAATTGTTATCCTATATCAAAACTTTATGTTAAACGTAATGACGTTGATTTTTTAATCGTCAACTAACAATACTTATGCAAAAAAACCTTAATCACCTGGTCTCTTTGATAACTCTTTGAAAGTTAGTTGAAGTGATTTCCTGATAACTAAACCTGAATATAGATTTAACAAACTTAAAATATAGAAGCCAAATACGCATGTCAATTTCGAGCAACTCTCTACTGTCAATGGGCGGGACTATTGAAATTGACATGGAGACCTCGTGGATTTTAAGATACTTTAGACGTCGTTTTTAGCTCACCTGAGCTGAAAGCTCAAGTGAGCTTTTCTGATCACATTTTGTCCGGCGTCCGTCTGTCTGTCTGTCCGTCTGTCCGTTTGTCCGTCTGTCTGTAAACTTTTCACATTTTCGACTTCTTCTCAAGAACTGCTGGGCCAATTTCAACCAAACTTGCCACAAAGTATCCTTGGGTGAAGGGGATTCAAGTTTGTTCAAATGAAGGGCCACGCCCTTATTCAAGGGGAGATAATTGGGAAATAAATGAAAATTTGGTGGCATATTTTAAAAATCTTCTTCTCAAGAACCACTGTGCCAGGAAAGATGAAACTTATGGGGAAACATCCTCAGGTAGTGTAGATTCAAGTTTGTTCAAATCATGACCCCCCGGGGTAGGGCGGGGCCAAAATGGCCGACCAAAGTTTTACATAGAAATATATAGGAAAATTCTTTAAAAATCTTCTTCTCAAGAGTGACAAAGCCATAATTCATCATATTTATATGGAAGCATGCTCAGGTAGTGTAGATTCAAGTTTGTTCAAATCATGACCCCCGGGGGTAGGGCGGGGCCAAAATGGCCGACCAAAGTTTTACATAGAAATATATAGGAAAATTCTTTAAAAATCTTCTTCTCAAAAATGACAAAGCCATAATTGATCATATTTATATGGAAGCATGTTCAAGTAGTGTAGATTCAAGTTTGTTCAAATCATGACCCCCGGGGGTAGGGCGGGGCCAAAATGGCCGACCAAAGTTTTACGTAGAAATATATAGGAAAATTCTTTAAAAATCTTCTTCTCAAGAATGACAAAGCCATAATTGATCATATTTATATGGAAGCATGCTCAGGTAGTGTAGATTCAAGTTTGTTCAAATCATGACCCCCAGGGGTAGGCGGGGCCAAATTGGCAGCCCAAAGTTTTTAAAGATATATATAGGAAAATTTTTAAAAAATCATTTTCTAAAAGTTAGCAAATCCATGATTGCATGGTCATGGGACTACTTTTAAAAGCCATTTTCTACTTTTTCCTACCATTAGTGCTCAGGTGAGCGATGTGGCCCATGGGCCTCTTGGTTATCTATAGTTTCAGTTTTATTTCTCGCTCCATGATACTGAGGTTTGGAATTCGAATCTCGTTAACTTAAGTCGACAAAAAATGGATGACAACTATTCCTTCACCGAATACTCTAGGCACTTGAAGTGACATATGTGGTCATTCGGATAAGACCGTTTTAAAATGGAGGTCCTGTGTCACGACAAGCGTTGGCACGATAGATATTGCTCAGTGCTTTATGGCCCTGAGTGCCGAGTAAAGGTGAAAGTTTGAAGCCATTTACCGGTACATGGTGACGTCTCTGCATGAGTGAAAAACTCTCGAATGGGACGTAAAACAACATACAATTTGTCATTAATCAATTCTATTTCCCAATTAATATAATGAATCACTGTTGAATTTGTTTGGTATGCCAGGGACATCAACGACAGTAGGACACTTCCGTAAATAAGGCAGAGTATATTTTGCATTGATAATACGATTTCTTCTGTGTTTATTTTCTCTTTGAAGTTAGATTAAAAGACAATATGAAGTTTATATGATTTAAGAGAATTCTACATAAGATATTTTTAACATAACATGTAACCAATTAAGCTAAAGTTATAGTGAAAGCCGTACACTATATTGTTCCTTATTCTAACATTGGAGTTAATTCACATCTTTTGATTTACAAATAAACACATGATACCCAAGAACATGAAAACTGCTTTGCTTAAATTTAATCAAATTTAATCCCTTATCATCCTTTTGGTATGAAGAATATGTATGCATGTTAAACAGTACAAGAACACTTCGCATAAAAAAAAATTATACAATAAAAATCATTAGATTATTACATAACGTACATGTATATACCGTTCCCTACAAATACATGTTGAAAAACATAGAAAAATGAAACATAAGACAAGAATATAAATTACTTAAATTTGAAAATTAAATGTCCCATCATTTGAATTGACAACAATTAATTATTCTTCTGTACGTACACGTTTCTTTAAACAACACATGTATATACATTTACATACTCAACAAAATAAGTTAAGGGCCAACTTGAGAATTTAATTTTTTGCAACATACTCGTATATTTTAAAGGTGGTATAAATAAGTAATATTTTAAAAGTAAACAATAACAAATCTCTTATAATAACTATTGAACAACAAGTAACAACATGTAACTGTCAAAATAACAATAATATTCAATAATACAGGATTTCAAGAGGAAGCAGCAGTTGTGTTTTCAGGGTTTAAATTAGCCTAGGAAGTCCAAACGTTATTTTCAGTAACTTGTATGGCCCTCTCGCCCGAATTACTTCCCTACATCGATTTGGAAAACTATTGATTCAATTTCTGCTTGGTTTTGCCTTTCTAGAATTTGCTTTTAGAGCATATCCCATACATTCTCTGTTGGATTCAAATCAGGTGATTTTGCTGGCCAATCCATCCTTTCGATTGTTTCTTCTTCTAAGTACTGGTTGTTCACTCTTGCACGATGTGGTCTGGCATTGTCATCCATCAAAATGAATTTTTAATCCCTCGCGCTAGCGTAAAACCTTACAATTGGTGTGGGGATCTCATACGCGCAACGGACATATGTTATTGATCCATTCCTTATGACATAAAGGTCTGTGGAGCCATTGAAACTGATACCTGCCCAAACCATGGCTGACCCACAACCAACCGATCATGTGCTGTGATGCAACAGTCCTTAAAACTCTCTTTTTTTCTTCCTACATACTCGCCTGCAACCATCACTGAAATCCAGACAAAATCTGGATTCATCAGATCATAACACTCCTTGGATATGATGATGGTCCCAGTTGATATGGTCTGGAGGCGACGGTTGCGATATTCCACGGTCAAATATGGGTGCACAACAGGTACTCTGGCACGTAAACACACATCATGCAGTCTGTTTCGTAAGGTTTATGTGGGGATCTTTATACCACTGCTCTCTGTTCAAAGCAACAGCTGAAGACATTCGGTTTCTCTAGGGAAGAAGTGATATTTGTCTAACAGTTGTACTCTTCGGGCGACCACTCTTAGGTCTTCGTTTGCATATTTTAGTATTTTCGTATCGTTCCAACAAATATCCTCTTACAGAATGACAAACACAAAATTGCGTACAAACATGACGTTGTGAAAATCAGGATTGCAGCATTCCAATGACCCTTAACCTTCAGATGTCTTCTTTGAGGCATGAAAACGTATTAAATGGCAAAAAGCAACAAATATTGTACATACGAGGCTTCTTCGAAAAGTCAGAGGACTTCTTTCATATCTTCCGGTTGGGATCCGGGTTAGAATAGGTCCTCAGTATCCCCTTGCTTGTCGTAAAAGGCGACTAAATGGGGCGGTCCTTCGGATGAGACCGTATAAACCGAGGCCCCGTGTCACAGCAGGTGTGGCACGATAAAGATCCCTCCCTGCTCAGTGACCCTGAGTGCCGAGAATAGGCCCAAATTTGCAGCCCTTAACCGGCAATGATGACGTCTCCATATCAGTGAAATATTCTGGAGAGGGACGTTAAACAGTATAAAATCAATCAATCAATCTTTCATATCTTTTTTTTATTTGACGTCATATGTTATCCAAATTTGGTACAATATTTTAACAATAAATTTGAATAATTTGTATAAATTTTATTTAGATATCACAATGAATTCAAAACTTATCCAGATTTTAAACATGCAAAATTCGGGTCGCGGAGCAGGTCAAATTTAAGTAAGTTGCAAAAATACACTAAATAATGTCTGCAGTCATATTATCTGTAAAAAAGGTAGTCCTCATGTTCAATCATTTTTTTTTATTTTTAAAAGATATATATATTATGATTTCTATGGCTTCTACTAATGGAAAAAGTACTCGGGTTTGAATTATCTTCATAATTAGATATAACCGATAGATTTTTTTCAAAGGTGACTTCACAACAGATCATATCTTCCTGTCAGGAACTTGTCAATAAGGTTTTTGATCTATGTTTTCCTTTTAAGGATTGTTGAAATGAATTATTAAATCAAACTTATTATTTATTTTTTTGATATTTTCTATGTAATGACGTACTTTTATTGTGAAAGATTATTTGTCCCTGTTTCGGATTAAGCGGCTTTAAAAATAAATGTCAAGTATTAGAAAAAGGTTTTTGAATGAGTGAATATTGGATAATACTGTAGGAAATGTATAGGAATAGTATATTTTTAATTCTTGACGCTATATTTTGACGTTACGTTGCGGTTTAGTGTACACCACGGGTAAAAAACATGTTGATTTTAAGGTCAGACGACACGTTCCTCAATAATATATAAATTTTTCTAAGAATTTATCACTGAAGTGTAGGTACTTAAATAAGTCTTCTCACGAAAAATTAGAGTACCTTACCAGGCATTTGGACAAGATACCACAGGGTCATATTTCTTATAAAACACTTATGGGTAATCTTCTAAATGCCTATATCAAAAATTTTGATGTACTTATATTTAAAATTATGTTGAAAAACAATGTAGATATCAGAAGAAAATGACAAATATGAGTAATTTTTCATATAATACCAAGAGATACAAGTCATATATTTTAGGAACGTGTCGTCTGACCTTAAAATGAAGTAAATTGATTTCCGTTAAATCGTATAGAATGAACAAAACAAAGATTTTACATTTTATATTTTGCTTTTTAAATATTTCTAGTGAGTTATTTAACGAAGATTGACACCGTCCAAGAACTTTTCGAACAACCCTTGTATTATCGAATCCAGTACCTTTTGTAGTTTGTCAATGAGTATACAATACAGCCAACATCACAGGAATGTGAATAAAGCAAAAAATAAGCAATAAGCAAAAATGGCATGAAAAGAGCACAGAATCAAGTTGCCCTTAACTTTTTTGTTGAGTGTCTGTCAATGCAATAACTGACAAAATGTATTTATGCATTAAAATTTGACCCAAGTATAGTTTTTTCTGTTATTGATGTAATAAAAATTACTTATGAATTGTATATCGATAAGTGTGAATTTGGATGGATATGAGTGTATGGAAAAGGTGCACAAATATATTTACAGTGTCAATAACTGCTCAATAAAATTCAATTTCACAAATATTTTAGATTGTATCTGAGTAGACAATGAGTTCCATTTCTGTAATCATTTTGACATCTTCTTTCTGTAAGTGGTATTTCTCTCTACGGAGATGATCTGTGATACCAGCGCAGATAAAATGACTTTCAACATTTGCCCCTGTTCTAAGTCGGTCGCTATGGAAAACAAAATAACTGAATAAATAGTTATTATTTCATAATTCTATATTTGATACAATGACCTCGTCAGCAAATACAATTTATCATAAAGTTGAATGCTGCCTGAGGTTTTTCATACTAATTGATAGACCTTTGTTTACACACTGAATGGATCATTGGATGTATTAGAATTACTTACAGAAACCATTCGACAGCAAACAAAATAGGAACCTCGTGAACTGGAATGTTTATAGCTGACAGTATCATGACGATCGTTACTATACTAGCACTGGGCATGGCTGGTAAGGAAAGTGTTGAAAAAGCTGCCAAAAACCTGTAATGATATTTTTATAAACGCTTGAAAAAAAATAAAAGAATTTACAATATGAATACATCTTTCTTTGAAATATCTACTGAAATTGATGGGTAATTATTTTTCAATACACTCTATGTATGTAAGAGTATGCAGTTCAATGGATTCAAATGACATTTCTATTAGACCATGCTTCGTTATTAAATATATACCCTATTATTATGACATTTCCAAATGTCAGTGTATACCCAGAATATTGTGCAATGAACATAGAAGCAGCTGACATAAACAGGGCACTGCCGTCTCCATTTGATGTACAACAAAGAGGTATGACAAAACTTGTGATCCGCCTCTCTATTTTGATAACATTTTCGCATACATGCAGAAGATTTGGCATTGCAAGAGCCCTGAAAAATAAAAGTTTTAGATTCATCATCGGTTTATTTGCTTCGATTCCTAGAAAATATTTATGATTTTTTTTAAAATTGGAAAATAAACACAAATCTTAAAATAATGCATTTTTTCTTAACTTTTTGGAGTACTTTGATGTAAGTATGAATTAAAACACACGGGAATTTGAGTATGTACTATGTTAGAGGCATTTATATCGCTAAATTTGAAATAAAACGTATACTTACGAGGACCCGAAAGAAAATCCTATCAGCCAAGCCCGCTTTACACTTAGGATATGTTTGTAGGGATTTTTTTCGAGTAAAAGTAAAATATACTCACCGTCAATGGAAACGCAACACCCTAATTTTAGAATGAAAATTTTATACAGGTTATAACTTTGTACCAAAAAAGTTAGGACATCTTTTACTTTGCCAAATCAGTAATTTAACGCTTGAATGAATTTCTTTCCATTACCAGAAGTTGCTTTTAAGCACTCTTAACAGAATTCAAAATTTTCCATTTTTAATAAAATTTTAACAATATTTTGGGTTTCCAAGGTTTTGAAACTGTTAGTCATAAATATTGTACTAAAAGGCCGGGAAAAAATCCCTCTTTCTTTACCGGATGTGCTGCCTATATTTCCTCAAAATGACTGATAGCAAGAAGGGGGGATGTTTCATGAGTTATGTGTCACCTTCAAAAGTTTAATGATAACATCAAAAATGAATATATTTAAGTAAAAAGTAAATTTACAAAAGAATAATACTCCATTTAAACATTAAATGTTATTTTTAGACCTTAGAAAGAAACAAATACCCGTTAAATTTTAAAACATCCCCCCTTCCGACCATTTAATGAAAACGTACTAGTCCGCAACAAATACAGCCCGATTTCTACCATACATTAAGTTTATTAATGTCTTAATCTAAGCGAAATTAATATTCTTGGGCATTTTTAAATACATGTTTTTCAGATATTGCATTCGAATTTTCTCTAACCTTGCGTAGTGTAGTAACTTTTTGACTTCCGGTCAAGAAACTGCCATTTATGCTATTGAAACACATGAACCTGATGGGTCGTTATATAGTGTATATTTGCATCTACAGCTCTTTTTTTCTTTATTTTGAGAATTTCTAGCATTAGCAATGAAAATCAGTCATTTTGAGGAAATATAGGCATCACATCTGGTAAAGAAAGAGGGATTTTTCCCCGGCCTTTTAGAACAATACTTATGATTAACAGTTTCAAAACCTTGGAAACCCAAAATATTGTTAAAATTTTATTAAAAATGGAAAATTTTGAATTCTGTTAAGAGGGCTTAAAAGCAACTTCCGGTAATGGAACGAAATTCATTCAAGCGTTAAATTACTGATTTGGCAAAGTAAAAGATGTCCTAACTTTTTTGGTACATAGTTATAACCTGTATATAATTTTCATCCTAAAATTAGGGTGTTGCGTTTCCATTGACGGTGAGTATATATGAGTGGAAGAAGAATGGCCTGGCTGAAAACAAGCCCCAAGGTGACTGTCAAAACGAAATATCCCAGGCTGACAAATGTCTCCGTGACGTCACGAGCACCTGCTATGGATGCAGCTGTAAGACTTATCACGCCTATAGGAGTTAGCCTGTAAAAACCATTACCTTAAAAAACGATTTCATGTTGTACGTTTCATGAGGACAGTTTGATTTCATCTTATATGTAAGGGCGACATTCAGTTATTAATGACACTTATTTGTTCCTTTGATGTCAAAATTGAATATACTTGTTGTCAAAGAAATCAAAAATACCATTAGCGTACGTAATAAACAATCAAAGTAATTTACCAGATAAACCATCTAAGAATTTGCAACACAATTTCAGCGCTCATGGCAAAGAAGTCAATAAATGTTTTGACTTTTTCTTTAAATCTCCCAGCAGCAATCCCAATGACCAAACAGGCCAATATCAATCCTACATGAAGGAAAAATAACATGAAGCTAAGTTTAAGGCTATTTAGTTGGTTATGCAATTGCATTAATTCAAATTTACCTATTATCAAGCTATATATTTTTAAATGAATTCAAAGATTAGAAACAATGCAAAAGATTTAGTGAGATTACATTTGATTTGAATTTCTTACCGAGTATGTTTGGTCCATATGATTTCCCTACAATCTTGACCATTTCCAGATTTTGTTTTACATCTGCTGTGGCATTAGTAGAATTACTAAGATTCTTCGATTCGCTCCAAACAATTTTAGACTGGAATTGTGTTTGTGTTTTGCGAAAGGCTGCCTCTACTAAGTTATCTGGTATGATATTTCTGTCAAATCATTTTAAAATAAACATATACGTTCATGAGACGTATGTGTACTATATACATACCCACTTATAGGTTTTTTTTATGTCCCGCTTATAGGCAAGTCATAAAAGATTAACATTTTACTGGACGGCGGTGAAATGTTGGGACATAAGGCATTTATGCATTTTAAAATTATGCATAAAGTACAAATATGAACACATTTGAAGGATTTATTTCATCTTAAGAATGTATTACTTACTTATTTAATGATTTCAAATGAAATATCTTCGTCATTCCTAAAGTATTATTTAAACTATGTTTAAACATCAGAGCACTGGCATGAAATTGTCAACTGATTCTTGAAAAGAATTGTACATATACCGACTTATAAGTGGGTCAATTGCAAAATGAAAACTTTAACGGCTTTCATAAAATGAACACCTATTTCTTGGCTATGAGAACAATTGCAAGTTTATCATCCCCCAGGACAACTATTTCTCGAGACGCAGCCTCGGGAAATAGTTGCTTTGTTGGTGGAATTTACTTACTCTTTTTCTCAGAGCCAGGAAATGGAAGTATTGCATTACCAGAATGATTTTTTAAACCACTAATACCTAAGTAAATCTGCAAAAACGTCTTGTGACTGAATTTTGTTGACCATTACTTTTTCGCTGTGTACAACATTGACTCGTCCTAAAAGTAAAAATGTAAATTTAAGGTAAAACTTAAATAATGAAATTGTGTCTAGTATAAGTATATACCTCAGCACACTTTTAAAAGGATTTAAAGCAATTGATTTTTATGTTCGCCTGTTTCCTATATAACAAATGAAAGGTCAAGGTAACCTAGTGGTAGATTTTCGCTTCGCGATCGGGAGGCCCGGGTTCGATTCTCGTTCACGGCGCCGCGTCAAACCTAAGACGTAAACATAGGTAGTGACTGTTCCTTCGTCAAGCGCTCGGCAATAAAAGTGAAAGTCACGGATCTTTCTGGTATGACTTTAAAAACATAGGTCCCGTGTAACGGTAGGCGTTGGCACGATAAAGAACCCTCAATGTTCAATGGCCCTAAGTGCCGAGTATAGTCGAAATTTGAAGCCCTTCACCGGCAAACGGTGAGGTCTCCATATGAGTGAAAAATTCACGAGTGCGATGTTAAACAATATACAATCAGCTAATCAATATAACGAATTATTCTTTTTAAATTAGACATGCCTAAATATTTGTTTTCCTTTCAAATGTATGCAAGTGAGTTGAGACTAAATATGGGCTTTTCTGTGCAAATGAGCTAATAAGAATGCATAAGTTGTATTTTTTATATACAGAGAAAGTTCAAATGAATTTTCTTATACAAACGTAGTACCCACAGTATATTAATGCAAGTGCACATTATGATGTCACATTATGACGTCATAGTTCTTTCCCATTCAAGATAATAAAACACAAAAACAAAACAACGTCGGCGCAAGGGCATATCATATTTGATTTAAAATAATAAAGTAGAATATGAAGGAGATTATTCTTAAAATTTATAAAATTGCTGCACAAATCCTATTCTCTTCTCCAATTGATAAATCGTTTTTATCAAGCTAACACTGGACTGTGCATTTTCCCCTGCTTCAACTTAGAACTGCACAAATTGTAACTAAACAATTGCAGTGTCGACATTTGCAATATCTTAAATCCTTGGAATGTTCTTATTCTCTTTATACCTTGTTTCTGTAAAAAAAAAATGTAAGGTATACCCTTGCGCCCAAGCGAATTTGATGATGATTCTTATAAACTTGTGTAAACTTGTAATGGTCGATGACGTCAAATGACATCATAATGTGTACTGGCAATCGCATATCGTGGGTAACAAGAATGTATTGTAAACAAGTCTTAACATTTTCTTTGCGGTATATATAGCAATTATGGGTCTTTATTAATTATTTTGCATAGAAACCTCCATACGTAAGCTTAACTCATTTGCGTATTGCATGTAGGTATACAACTAATAATTGGAACCAAATTAATCTCACGACTTGAACTAGGCTAAATTGGGGGTTTTTTTTATATATAATGCAATTTTGGAAATATTTTCCAGCAAAGGAAAGCTCACTATTCAGAGGAAAAGGGAAATTGAGATTTTAGGCAATTTTGTAGAAACCATTTTAATTATTTCGAGATACTTTGAAGAAAAACATTTTGTCTGTAATTTTTACCTGGTTTAATGATATAAATAAGTGTTATAGCAATAATACATCCCATTGAATTCGTCAGCAATATGTATGTGATAGATACCAGTCCTACTCTTCCGTTAGATTTTAGATCTGACGAAGCCGTACCTACAAGAAAATAAACGTCAGTTTATTTATTTGTGTTTTATTTCAAAGCGTCTCGTTTAGTAGGAACATGCAGTCTCACCATCCGATAGAAGTATTTTGTCTTCAATAAGCCATTTAAAGAAGTTTTTTTTTACCTATCTCAAATCACAATCCCATCTACATATATACAGGTATATGTATATATCAAACAATTGTGATTTAAAAAAACAACGTTAATAAAGTTTGATTCTTTAACCCCCATTCATTAATATTTCAAGGTAAGTGGGATTAAAATCAATATTATACTTTCATGTAAATTAGTTGAATCTGATTGGTCGAGAAACATTTGTTAAAAAACACAATTAACCGATGAATAATGAAGGCACACCCTCCAGCGTAGCAACAGTCAACATTGCTTGACGACGGGTGGTATTCCTAAAAATAGCGACTGCGCAGAATTTATGCGCGCACGGTTCACTGTTATATGTATTTGTATAAAACATTCAGTATAATATAATAAATATATTACTTACTGTTTATGATACTGGTTACAATGAGGGGAACAATCATCATTTGTAGAGACCTCATGAAAAGATCGCCTGGCATACCTTTGAAATGTATGAATTTATACCAATTATGTTTCTTTACCATTTTACAATAGTACTTAACAATATGCCACATTCTGAGAATGACTGCTGACAATTTTTCTATGGATGTCCCTCTACCTAGTCTCTATCCTACTGCACGTTTTCTTTGTAACTCCAAAACCCAGTGAAATTATGAGAAAAATGTATAAAAATGTCTTTTATATATCACATAATGTAAAATGTATCCCTTTTTATTATATGTTATTTTATGACCATTTATGACACCCTCTATATTGTGCTTTGAAAAATTTATACTTTTACCCTGGTTGAAATTATTTCACAATAACTGACAATTATATCTGAGGGTATTTCCCACTAAATATTTACATCTGTTTTAAAACAATTCATCATACATTTTACTCAAGCAAGTTTCAGTTAGATATGAACTCCTCTTGCATATTTCTACAAAAAATCCCAAACAGATCCCCATAAATCTGCTTCGCTAGGCTCTTTTATACACTTATCATGAATTCTGCTTCTATCCACGGGTATGAAAGAGCAAATTTCAAAAGTTTATATTTTGTATATATTTTGAAAACGCTGACTTTGAAACAGGAAAAATAAAATAAAGCTCTCAAAGTTATCTCGATATATAGATTTTTTAAAAAAGATTAGAATACGTTAATTTTACAGCAGCTTTCTGACACTTTATATGCAGATTAAATGAGGTGTAAAGTTTATGACAATATCCCCATCACCAAATCTCAAATTTGCAGTGACTTGACGTCATTTTCAGTTATGATGCCATGCATTTGTAGTTCAGAGTAGTGAATGCACAGAGTACACTGCAAAATTCTCTGGGAAACCCTATTGTATCTGCGATCTAGAATTCAGCCTATAAAGATAAATACAAATATGGCTATAACTTCTCTGCTCAATGAAGACGTACCGATCCATTGTATAACATCTGTAGAGGGTCTAACTTCACGAATTCCAAACCCGATTATAAATCCGAGAACGACGGCCAAAAACGTCAACACAAAAAGAAGTTGTCCACGTAAGATTCGCTGAATAGTTGGAATACAGGATCCTCTCTTCTTGCTGTTGACTTCCATGAGGTTCTTCATCTTGTACATGTATATAAAGTATGAATATTGCTTATATTTATCACAAATTATATTACATATAGGGAGAAAATAAAAATAATGAGTTGAAGCTACTCAACTTAGTATATACAACAAGCATTTACGAAAGAAAAGTTGTTTTTTTTTTTTTGTATTATTATAAGTTATTATAAGTTGCTGCACCATTTGCCATTGTTGTCTCTTGTACTGATTTCAAAGTTACTTTTTTTCTGAAGTTTTTTTATATTTATGTTTTGTTTGTTTAAGTTTATCATACTTTAATTTTACTATGAAATTTATTATGTTCTTTTTATTCAGATAAATATTGGTTGAATAAAACTTTACATTTGGATTGAACCATGGATGTCTTATTGATGGACACATGTTGTTACTATTGTATACAAGTGCGATGCTTCCATAAAACACTTCTTAATTTTTCGCTAAGAATATCGACAATTTTATTGACATCAGTATCATCTTCAACACATGAATGTAGAGCTTCTAAGTTCTTTAAAAGTTTTCGTCTCATTTTAGATTGAAATTGTTTTCGTCACATAACTTTACTGGAATTTTTTGCGATACCAAAGATTTTTGTATTCTTTCGAAATTTTCTCTAGTCTAGTCTGACCCCCTTATAATATGTTAATATTTTTGTTTTACGTCATTTACTTCAATAAATGACATTTTTTTCACTGTCACTGCTGTTATTTTATTTTTAATCCATCAAAAAACTAGCTCAGTTGACTTGGCTTCGGTCTGGCAATAATAACGTAGGAACATAAAATATAATTATGTTAAAAGATAGATCAACGACAGATCCCTCATTTGGACCATAATATTTATAGTTTCTGTTAGAATCGAACAAATGTCGTCCGTTACCTATACTAATAATAGATTATTTATATGAGCCAATAATATTTCTAACAAAAATGTTTTATTATCCATTGTTGATCCTGGACTAAGTGCTATCTCAGGTTTATAACAAATAACTTCTGAAATATGGTAATTGATTTCGGATTATAGGGTATCTCTATCAATATAACATAATAAGGAACCGGTTCTTGCATTGTATTTTACGAAATACTCTATATGTATTATATTTAGCGTTTACAATATTAATATTTTACAAGTTGGCGTAGACTTGATTCAGTGCATTTCTTAATGTTCGTATAAATGTGTAATGTTTAAAACATTTAGCGTGTACTTGAATTAGGGAATGTTTCTTTCCGCCAAAAACGCTAAAAAGGAATACACCGCCGAATG